TCTCTAGGATTGTGAATTGTAGACTGCTTTTTTGGCTTTATGTCTAAAAGCCATTTATGAGTGAGTACATATGATATTTGGCGCACACCATTAAATCCCAGCACTCAGGAGGCAGAGGCAGGCAGATCTCTGTGAGTTCGAGACCAGCCTGGTATACAGGGCTAGTTCCAGGACAGGCTGCAAAGCCACAGAGAAACCCTGTCTCAAAAAACCAAAAAATAAATAAATAAATAAATAAATAAATAAATAAATAAATAAATAAAAATAAATAAAAGCCACTTGTGAGTGAGTACATATGATATTTGTCTTTCTGGGTATAGATTACCTCACTCAGTATGTTTTCTAGATCCATCCATTTGCCCGAAAATTTTAAGATGTCATTATTCTTTTCTACTGTATAGTTCTCCATTGGGTAACACATTTCCTTTATCCATTCTTGGGTCAAGGGGCATTTAGGTTGTTTCAAGGTTCTGGCTATGACAAACAATACTGCTATAAACATAGATGAGCACATATCTTTGTGGTACAATTGAACATCTTTTGGGTATATACACAAAAGTGGTATTGCTGGGTCATGAGGAATGTTGATTCCTAATTTTATGAGAAATCACTCATACTTAAATCTGAAGCAGCTGTACAGTTAGCACTCCCACCAGCAATGGAGGAGCATAACCTTTACTCCACATCCTCTTCAGAATAAGTTTTCATCACTGGTTTTGATATTGGCCATTCGTACAGGTGTAAGATGGAATCTCAGAATTGCTTTGATTTGCATTTCTCTGATGACTAAGGATGTTAAGCATTTCTTTAAGTGTCTTTCAACCATTTTAGATTCATTTGCTGAGAGATATCTCTTTAGTTCTATACCCCATTTTTTATTGAATTATTTTTTTCTTTTTCTTTTGATGACCAATTTCTTGAGTTCTTTGTAGATTTTGGAGATTATCCCTTTGTCCAATGTCGGGTTGTTGAAGATCTTTTCCGATTATGTAGTGTTTTGTTTTTCCTTTTTTACAATGTTTTTTCCTTTACAGAAGCTTCTCAGTTTCATGAAGTACAATTTATTAGTTTTTTTCTCTCAGTGTCTATGCTACTGGGGTTATATTTATGAAGAGGTCTCCTGTGCCAATGTGTTCAAGTGTACTTCCCACTTTCTCTTCTGTGAGACTCAGTGTGTTTGGATTTATGTTGAGGTCTTTGATCCATTTGGGCTTGAGTTTTTTGCATGGTGATAGATATGGACTTATTTTCATTCTTCTACATGTTGATATCCAGTTATGCCAGCACCATTTGTTGAATATGCTTTCTTTTTTACAACTGATATTTTCTGTTTTTTCTCAAAAATCAGGTATTCTTAGGTGTGTGGATTGATAACTGGGTCTTTGGTTTGGTTCCATTGATCTTCCTGTCTGTTTTTATGCTAATATTAGGCTGTTTTCAGTACTGTAACTTTGTAGTGGATTTCAAAGTCATGGATTGTGATGCCTCCAGAAGTTCCTTTATTGTACAGGATTGTTTTACTTATCCTGGGTTTTTTGCTTTTCTATATGAAGTTGTGTAGTAATAAGAGCGGCGGGGCTGCATCCCCAGCACCCCGGCCGCCTGGCTAGCTTATACCTTGAAATAATTACACGGACACTGTATTCTTTTAATCACTGCTTGGCCCATTTCTATCTAGCCTCTTCTTGGCTAACTCTCGCACCTGGACTAGCCCATTTCAAGTGTAGCCCACGAGGTGGCTTACCAGGGAGATTCTAGCCTACGTCCATCCTGGGTCGGAGCTTCATCGCGTGTGCCTCAGAGACCAGAGCTCTCGTGTCCGCCCTGGAGATGGGAGCATGGTGTCTCTTTCCAGAGAGCAGAGCTGTCGAGTCTGAGCTCACTTCCTCTTCCTCCCAGCATTCTGTTCTGTTTACTCCTCCCACCTATGTCTTAACCTATGAGGGCCAAGCAGTTTCTTTATTGCTTAACCAATGAAATCAACAGATTGATATATGACACTCCCACATCAAAGTTGAGTATTGTTCTTTCGAGGTCTGTGAAGAGTTTTACTGGGATTTTGATGAGTATTGCACTATATTGACAGATTGCTTTTGGTAAGCTTGCCATTTTTATTATTTTAATTCTACTTACCCACAAGAATGAGAGATCTTTCTATTTTCTGGTGTCTCCTTCAGTTTCTTTCTTTAAATATTTAATGTTCTTGTCATACAGCTCTTCCACTTGTTTGGTTAGTGTTACTCCAAAATACTTTATGTTATTATGAAGGGTAATGTTTTTCTGATTTCTTTCTCAGCCAATTTATTATCTGTGTAAAGGAGGAAAACAATTTTTTTTAGTTAATCTTGTATCCTGTTATAATACTGAAGGCATTTATGAATTGCAGAAGTTCCTTGGTAGAATTTTTGGGGTTACTTATATAAAGTATCATATCACCAGCAAATAGTCAGATTAACTTTTTCTTTTATGATTTGCATTCCCTTGATATCATTTTGTTGTCTTATTGCTCTAGCTAGAACTTCAAGTACTATATTGAATAGATATGCAGAGAGTGGACAACCTTGTCTTGTTCCTGATTTTAGTGGGGTCCTTTGAGTATCCTTCCATTCAGTTTGATGTTGGTTGATAGCTTGCAGTGTATTGCTTTTTATTATGTTTTGGTATGTTCATGTATCCTTGCTCTTTCTAAGACCTTAATCATGAAGGGGTGTTGTATTTTGTTGAAGACTTTTTCATTATCTAATGAGATGCTCATGGTTTTTTTTTATCAGTTTGTTTATATGGTTGATTACATTGACAGATTTTTGTATGCTGAACCATTCCTGCATACCTAGGATGAAGCCAACTTGATCATGGTGGACTACTTAGAAAATATGTAATAAGTAAAATAACTATATGCAATATACACAGGCAAAAATACATAAAAAATGTCTAATCCATCTGCATTTGACAAATTCAGAGATAATACTTTATATCTATCCTATCTTGGTGAATCTAAAGTCTTTCTAATTTACTTTCTATCATAACTTGCTTTCTGCATCAGGTAAACATGGAAATAACTATCTAATTTTCAACTCCCTCAGAGACCCAAGAAGGAAATAAAATTAACTGAGTAAGCAGGAATTGCAAGGAAGTGACTTCCAAAAAATATGAGTAATGACAGAAATGTCTGGCTGTCTGAATAGTCACTCAAAATCCCTCTGTAATATTGTAATATTTGTATGTGGCCTATAGGTCTAGCATAACTGACAGACTTTTTTTAAAAATAGAACATTCTGAAGGGCTGTCTCTCCTTATCATGACAAGTTTTAGCAGTTAATTTCTTCAGTATTCTGCTTGTCTAATTAGGACAGCATACTCTCAGTAGTTGAGGCAAGGGCATTTGTTTACCCAGTGGCTTACTTTGGCTACAAAGAAAGTAAACACTGTGTGGAGTTTCTTTCATGCCCATTATCCTCTCTAAATTAGAATAGTCCTGCCAGGAGCAGACATGTCTCATTGTCATAAAATGGAAGAAGAACCTAGGTTATTAAAATATCTTAAATGACATATTCTGTAGATCTCTGAAGTCTTTGAAGATGACCTGTATATCTAAAATATTTTGTTGTTTAACCTTGAAAACATACATTATATGACTACAAGTTCAATTATTCTAGGTGACTAGTTACTAACCTGTATTTCCTTACTATCCTAAACAGTTGGTAAGAAGAACTTTCAAAACATAGAAGTTTGCATTACCGCCTCCCATTTCCCTCCCCCTCCCCCAGTTAGGTCCCCCCCCATCAGCCCGAAGAGCAATCAGGGTTCCCTGCCCTGTGGGAAGTCCAAGGAACCCCCATCTCCATCCAGGTCTAGTAAGTTGAGCATCCAAACTGCCTAGGCTCCCACAAAGCCAGTACGTGCAGTAGGATCAGAAACCCATTGCCATTGGAGGCGGTGGCGGGGAAGAGACAGAAATCTTTAATAAATAAATAAATTAAAAAAAAAGAAAATAAAAAACAAAAAAAAGAAGTTTGCATTACATTGTTAAATGAATTATATAGGTATGTACCTTAAATAAGAGTAGAAATATATGTACAGTGTGTTCTAACAAAATAAATCCCAAATTTTAATTAATGTACAAATTTGTTTATAATATACAAAAGTAAAACCAATGTAAACTAATATAAACTAACATATAAAACTAATAGTTGCTTTTAAAAAGTGGCACCAGGACTTATCCCTATTGCATGTACTAGCTTTCTCTTTTTGCATATCTTTGGATGGATACCATGCTCAGCCTAAATATAGCAGAGAGGGCCTTGGACCTTCTCTCAAAGCAATGTGCCTTTATCCTCTTTGAGAATTGGATGGGGTCAGATGGGAAGGTATGTGGAGGGAATAGGAGGAAGGGGGGTGTGAACTTGGATTGGTATGTATAATCAAAAATGATAGTTTGTTTTCTTTTAAAAAATAATCAAAAAACAACCAAAAAGAAAACAAAGTAGATTCAATAATCTATCATTTTATCCAATCATATCTACATCTCCTTTTTTTTTCTTTTCAAAGTAAGATAGTGAATCTACTGTCCTTTTGTTTTGTTTTGTTTTGTTTTCTTTCCTGACTATTGTCCATAACAACTTATAACCAATACACCAAACAAAGCCAAACAGCCATCATCCATTTTTTGGAAATGTGGGCATAGGTTTTTAGGCTATTTCCTGCTGACTGGTAAGCCAAAGGAAATTTATGTTTATGTTAAAGTCCTCACTGGAGTATTCTGTAAGGCTGGATCATCTCAGCCAGCACCTTGAAGCAACTCTGGATGCACAACTCAGAAGAAACTGCAAGAGAGGTTCTCTGAAACATTGGGACATCTGGGCCATTGGTTCCCCCTGAAGATTTTTCAGGAGGTCTTCTTTGATCAGACTTTATTTTTCTTAACTCAGAATGAATCCACAGCCTCTTATTTTTTTGAGGAAACAAAAGCAAAACCTGTTCTCCAAAGTAACAAACATTTCTTTTTTTTTTTTTAAGTCTTACAAACTTTATTAGTGCTGGGGAAAGGAGGACAGGCAGCTCCGGTCTCTCCCTACATTACTGCTTGCCGTTGCCATTGATGGGACGGTTCAAATGGTCAGGGGAGGACAGGAAGGCCTTGATCTTGGGCCGGGCACTGAGGCGTGCCACATAGGCACTGAGCAGGGGGAAGTTGTCCAGGCAGCCAGGGGCCAGGACCTGGTGGATCAGCAGCAGATCTAGCAAGTTGTAATCGGCGAAGGAGATCTGGTCACACACGATGAAGGCTTTGCCTCCTTGGTTCTGGGACAGCAGGGTCTCGAAAGGTTTCAGGTGTCCAGGCAGGGCCTTCACATAGTCATCCTTCCCTTCCTCATATTTGGTGTAGATGAGGGTGATGTATTTCAGGCGAAGGTCTTCCACCCCATCATTCACCATATCCACCAGGGCAGCCTCCTTCTGATCTTTTCCATAAAGCCCAAGGGATCGGCCCAAGTGCCTCAAGATGGCATTAGATTGGTACAGGGTAAGGTCTCCATCCTGAAACTTGGGGAGCTGCCCATACAGACAGGTGGATTTGAGCAAGCCTTTCATCCAAGTATCTATGGACACCACCTCCTCCTTCCAGCTCTGGTCCTGGTCTTCAAAATTTAATTAGTAACAAACATTTCTAATTAAATTTTGAAGTCAAGTTATTTTCAAAATATATAGGTTGGATTAAATCAGCAGCATTCATAATCAAATTTCTCCTAGTAGCCATTGCTCATTCCTCACAGTAAAACAATTAAAAGACAAAACAATAATACACAGTATCCAGATAATCGGTGTATTTTCCCTTTTACATGGAAGCTAAGTTGGAACAAATGGGAGACAGGAATGCTAGATTTTTCTTCCAAACCCAGATGTCTAGTTTATTTATTTATTTATTTATTTATTTAGTATTGAAAAAAATAATTCTGCCTCCTTCCAGTCTCCCATTTCCCTCTGCCTCCTACCATCCTTGCCCCCTCCCACCATTCCTCTCCCCCTCCCTCTCCAGTCCAAAGAGCTGTCAGTGTTCCCTGCCCTGTGGGAAGTCTAAGGTCCTCCCCTCTCCATCCAGGTCTAGGAAGGTGAGCATCCAGACTGGTTAGGCTCCCACAAAGCCAGTACATGCAGTAGGATCAAAACCCAGTGCCATTGTCCTTGGCTTCTCATCAGCCCTCATTGTCCGCCACGTTCAGAGAGTCCGGTTTTATCCCATGCTTTTTCAGTCCCAGTCCAGCTGGCCTTGGTGAGCTCCCAATAGATCAGCCCCACTGTCTTAGTGGGTGGGTGCACCCCTCGCAGTCCTGACTACCTTGCTCATGTTCTCCTTTCTTCTGTTCCTCATTTGGACCTTTGGAGCTCAGACGGGGAGCCACACTTTCTTTATACATTTTTCCATTGAGGGGCATCTAGGTTGTTTCCAGGTTCTAGCTATTACAATTGCTTTTAGAGACAGAGACCCACATCTGCACACTGGACTGAACTCCCAAGGTCCAGCTAAAGAGCAGAAGGAGGGAAAAAATAAGCAAGGAAGTCTGGACCTTGAGGGGTTGGTCCACCCACTGAGCTAATGGGAGCTCACCAAATCTGGCTGGACTGGGACTAAACAAGCATGGGATCAAACTGGACCCTCTGAATGTGGCTGACAATTGTGCAAGACTGAGAAGCCAATGACAACGACACTGGGATTTGTCTCTACTGCATGTACTGGCTTTTTGGGATCCTATTCTATTTGGATGCATACCTACCTAAACCTGGATGTAGGGGGAGGGCCTTGGGCTTCCCACAGGGCAGAGTACCCTGCCCTCTCTTAGAACTGGAGGGGGAGGGGGATGAGTGAGGGAGCAGGAAGGAAGTGAGAGGAGTGGAAGAATTAGAAATCTTGATTGGAATTATTTATAAAGTAATAAAGAATAAAAATAAAAATAATTTTAAAAAAAGAATAGGAACCTGATCAGACCATGAACATGTATAGAGAAATGGCACCACAGGGACAAACTGTCCTCAAGCCTAGACTCCAATTAAGTCATAATGAATGAATGATAACCAATGATACTTATGCTCATCTCTGAACCTTAAGCTAAAGCCTCTGAGGTTTCATGCTTAACCATCACAGTGATGCTCAGGGAAAATTTTTGCCCTCCAAATAATGATTGACAGAAGCCAGGGATGTTAAAGCACTGTGTGCCATTGGTCTCAGAACAGCATGCTTGTTTGGGTTTTATTTCTTATTTCAGTGAGTTTATTTTAACATTTGTCTTTGACCCGAAAAGGCTGAAGGGAAGGGCAGGGATCAGATAAAATGTATAGCTCAATAAAATTAATTTCAAAACAATTAAAAACGTTATATATGCAAACATGCACACAGACACACAAACACACATATATAAGCACATGTATTGCTACAAATATTCTCCATCCCACTAGTTCCAAAACTGCTTATAAAATAACCACTCGGAGGCTTAATATTAATTACATACCCTTTTGTCTAGCTAATGCTAATTATGGCTAATTATTAACTATCTCTTACAACTTAAATTAAACCATAGTTCTTGTCAATGTTGAGCTATGTGTCTTGGTACCTTTTCTCAGTGCAGCATTCTCATCTTGCTATCTCTGTTTCTGCCTGGCAACTGTATCTCTGCCTTTTGTCCTTTCAAAATTCTTGTAGTCTGATTGGCCTGCCTGAACTTTCTGCCTGGCTCCTGGCTAAATCAGTGATTTATTAAACAAATATGAATGACAAATCTTTACAGTATGCAAGAGTATTATCCCACAGTAAACATGAACACTAAGAGCACATATACACCATTATACATTTATTCACTGTCTTAATGGTAAAGTATTATCTGCCCTATATAAATAATTTGATATATATATATATATATATATATATATATATGGTCAATAAGGAATAGATTCTTATGCACAAAGGTTGGCAATCTCTTAAATCCTTTGGATTCTTCATCTTAGTTATTTTATAAATACTTTCATTATATATATTCATTAAACACAGTGCTTGGTTTCAAAAAGACCATTTCCTTCATGTATGTTATATAACTTTACAGTATTCATCCTTCTTTCATCTTTCTGTTCTCTTCAATATCCTTCCTTTTAATGCTTTTAATTTTACAAATTTTCTTCTACTTTTAAGTTACATACTTGATTATATAAACTTGACATTGTGACAAATATATTGCTCTCTGGTTACATCCTTTATCCTGCAAATTTTATAATGTATTTTATGTGGTGCAATGTTTTTACTTATTCAGATGTTGGTAAACAAAATATGATTGTATAACTTTTTATTGTAAATAATGAAACAATAAATATGGTTATGCAAGTATTTCTTTGGTATGCTGACCTAAATATCTTAAAGTCAAGACTAAAAAGTGGTTTAGATATTTCAATATTGATGTTTCAGTATTCTTTGCTTCATTTTTGAAGAAATTCCATAGTGACAGATATAGAGACTGGAATAATTTACATTACCAATAGCAGTATGTGAGGTCCTTATTTTTACATTTAGTTGCTTTATAAATTCATTTTTATAATGACAGTTATTGTAAATGAGGGAAATATAAAGTTAAATTGAGCTTTAATTGGCATTTTTCTGATGGATAATGATCTTAAACATTTTTCTTTTGTGCTTATAATTATTTGGTAGTAACCTACTAGGTCATTCACTTACATGTACATGTTTAAAAGTCAGAGCCATATGTTTATGTTTATATTCATTCCCTAATTTGTTAAAATGCTTTTCTAAGCATTTTCTCAGAACTGTTAACACACACAAATTATTATTGCCAAGAAAGTACAATATTATGCATGATAAAATGAATGAAGTCAATAATGTGCATAGGGAGAAATGTTGCAAGATCTATCAGGGAGATTGTAAGAAAAGAGTGTACATGTAGTAAGGAGCCTGCTAGTTAGTTCCCAGCAGCATAGCCCCAAAATAATCACACAGAAACTGTATTATGTAAATCACTGCTTGGCTCATTAGCTCTAGATTTTTATTGTCTAACTCATACATATAAATTTAAGCCATCTCCTTTAATCTGTGAATCACCATGAGGTCATGGCCTATAAGCAAACTGTTAACAAATCTGTCTCCAGAGGCAGTTCCATGACTTCTCCTAACTCCTCCTTCTTTCTCCCAGCCTTCAGTTTAATTTTCTCACTTACCTTTATTCCCTGCATATGTCCAACAGTTTCTTTATTAACCAATGCTATTTACAACATACAGAGGGAAATTCCATATCGTGTACATTAAATAAGTAATTTCTGGAGAATTTTCACTAACTTGATCACAACATATGACATTAAATTAAATGTGAGGGAAATGTGCATGTTTTTGTTAATAATCCTAAAGATTCTAGTTATTAGATATAATATACTCTATAAAATAATGACTCCTAATTTTCTGAGAAATTGCCATACTGATACTCAAAGGGACAGTTTGCACTCCCACCAGCAATACTTCACAACCTCTCCAGCATAAGTTGCCATCAGTGTTTTTGATCTTGGCCATTCTTACAGGTGTAAGATGGAATCTCAGAGTTGTTTTGATTTGCATGTTTGTGATGCCTAAGAATGTTGTGCATTTAATTAAGTGTCTTTCAGCCATGTAGAAGGAGCTGCGGGCTGTGTTCCTGCCACCCAGCCGCCTGGCTATCTTATGGCCCGAAATAACAACACACAAACTGTATTCATTTAAACACTGCCTGGCCCACTTCAATTAATGTGTGTAGCACCCAGGCGTGATTACTGGGAAGATTCTAGCCTACGTCCATCCTGGGTCGGTGATGTGGGAGTGTCATATATCAATCTGTTGATTTCATTAGTTAAGCAATAAAGAAACTGCTTGGCCCTGTGGGTGGAGTAAACAGAACAAAATGCTGGGAGGAAGAGGAAGTGAGGTCAGTCTCGACAGCTCTCCTCTCGGGAGCAGACGCCTGAGAGAGACGCCATGCCCCGCTCCCGGGATGAAGCTCCAACCCAGGATGGACATAGGCTAGAATCTTCCCGGTAAGCACACCTTGGGGTGCTATACACAGATGATTAGAAATGGGCTAAATTAATATGTGAGAATTAGCCTAGAAGAGAATGGGCCAAGCAGTGTTTAAATGAATACAGTTTGTGTGTTGTTATTTCGGGTAAAGCTAGCCGTGCAGGCGGCTGGGGTGCTGGGGACGCAGCCCCGCCACCCCAATTACTACAAATGGCGCCCACGTGGACAACTGCTTCCACATAATGCCTGAGACAGCTTGGGAAGTAATTCTAGAACAAAATGAAAGCATTGTGCCTGGTTTCTTGGTAGCAGCAATTTCTTGGGTCTACTCTGCTTGCCAGAAGCAAGCAAGCACCTCATCTAAGAGAGGCTTCCTGACTCAGCTTTAGCTGCAAAGCCTGCAGCTCATTAAGAGGTCCTGCCACGAAACACTTAAATGGTGTTGACGAAAAGCTGAAAGCATGCTTTTCGGTTTTCAGCCGTAGCAGGAAAAAAGCTGCGCCGTTTAAAAATGCCGGCTTTCTGGGCTGTCCTGCCAGGGCAAACTCTGACTATTTTACACAGGCAGTTTGTGCAGTTTGCAAGCACAGGCTGCTTAAG